CCCCCTGAGCAGATCATCCAGGCCATCCTGAAGAAACAGTTCCTTTTTTAAGTGACCCCCCCGAGCTCCGACAGTGGTTGCGTGTGGCGGAAACCTGCCACCCTGGAAGAAGCTGCAGCCTTAGCGGATGAGGGCACTCCTCATTAACCCCGCAATGGAAGAAGCCTGCTGCCGAGGCACCCCAAGCGGCCAGGATGCCTCATCCTACACTGGTGCCCTACACACCCCCCATCGCCGGATGGCCCCACAAACAGTGCCAGCACTACGGCCTTACTCCCCACTTCGTTCAGCCACCTCGCAACGGGGCTCCAGACCGGCCTTAGATAGGCGATGCTTTGGCTGTGGACAGATTGGTCACTACCAGGCCAGCTGCTCCGCCAAGAAACAGACTCTCGGGCCTAGCTTGCCCCGGCCAGTGAATTCTGTGGATCTGTTACAGGCTCCCGAGGACTTTCCACCACCCCCTTCAGACTGGGATCTTGCTCCTGAAGACAAGGACAACCCCCCCAGGAGTCTTTGGCCTACAGCCGGTGGGGGCCCCCTACCCAGAGCCTCCAAGGAAAAACCCCTTGCAAGAGGTCACTGTGGATGGGACAAAAGGCGGTGGGATTCTGAGACTCAGGGGCCTTCCTCACCATTGTGGACCCCCGAATGGTGCATCCTGACGCTTTGCAGCCGGGCCCTGGGATAGTGATTCAACTAGCAGGGGGCACCAAACGCTTCATCCCTCTTGCTACTGTCAATCTGGGACTATGGCTTGGGGCCTAAATGCTGCAACGTGGGTGTAATGTGAGGACTGCCTGCAGATGTGCTTCTTGGGAATGATGTCGGGCGATCTTCAATGCCACTTTGTGGGAGCCGTCACACGAAGTCAGGCCTGCCGGGAAAACCGCTGAGAGGAAGGAGTCACCCCATCATGTGGACGGACCTCCCGCTGCCCGCGGTGAGTGACTCAACTCTGACTGCTGACAATGCTGGGGTGACATGGGACCGGGACAAGTTTCAAGGGGACTTAGCCACCGACCCTACTCTGACAAGCTTCTGGGCCCGAGCACGGGTGACTGGTCCGGGGACCGGCGAAAGGATAGTGCAGGAAAATGGGTTGCTGTACCGAGTGGTAGAGACCGACGCCGAAGGGGGGCCCCAGACCGTGGCTAAACAGCTGATAGTTCCCCAACAATTCCGGACCCAATTGCTACACCTTGCTCACGATATTCCCAATACTGGGCATCAGAGAAAGCTACGGACCGAAAAGAGGTTGGCCCAGGCCTTCTATTGGCCTGGGATGTCCTAATCGGTAGCTCGCTACTGCCGTACCTACAATACCTGTCAGCGACATGGAAGAACGGGTGGCCTGCAGGCCCCTCTACAGCCCCTACCCATTATTGAGGAGCCGTTTCAATGAGTAGCTATTGACATTCTGGGTTCCTTAGCTCGCCCCAGCAAATCTGGAAAGTGGTACATCCTGACTATCGTGGACTATGCTACTCGTTACCCCGAAGCAGTCGCCCTGTCCAGCATCACAGCTCCCAAAGTTGCAGAAGCCTGGTCAACGTCTTCACCTGAGTGGGCTTCCCTGCTGAAATCCTGTCAGATCAGGGGACTCAGTTCATGTCAGGCCTTGTTCAGTCCCTCTGGCAGACCTGTGGAGTGCGGGCGATCCGGACAACCCCCTATCACCCCCAGACCAATGGACTGTGTGAACGCTTTAACGAGACCCTGAAGGCCATGCTACAGGCCTTTGTAGATCTAGAGCCAGACTGGGAAAGATACCTGCCCCACCTCCTCTTTGCCTACTGGGAGGTGCCCCAGGAATCTACCGGATTTTCCCCCTTTGAACTGCTGTATGGGCGAAAAATCTGCAGCCCCCTGACCCTACTGAAGGAATACTGGGGAGGGTCAACTACCAGATACCGGGGTCCTTGTGGTGCCCTACATCTTGGAACTGCGTGAAAGGATGGGCCAACTAGCTGGCCTCGCAGCTGACCATCTCCAAGCAGCCCCGGTCCGGCAAAAGACATGGTATGATCGCAAGACACGCACCCGTGTCCTCATGATTGTCCCAAATCCCCAGAACAAATTGAAAACCACATGGGAGGGACCCTCTCGTGTCATTAGGAAAGTGAATGACACTAAACTATATTCTCGGACTAGATGATCGGGGGAGACGGCAGAAAACGGTACATGTGAATATGATCAAGGAGTGCCATGACCGAAACCCCCTTGTTATGGCTGTCTGTCCAATACCCTCTGTGGAGGAGGAAGAGGCTGTACCGGACCTCCTGGAAGCAGCACGCCATCCAACTGACATGCACCAGGTGCCCCTGAGTCTGCAGCTGAACCCGGGGCAACAGAGGACCATGAGTGCTGTCCTGGGCCAGCGCAGTACCGCTTTTTCAGCCCAGCCTGGAAAGACCACTTTCACCACTCACCATGTGGAGACCCTGGGAACCCGGCCCCTCCAACAAGCCCCATATCGTGTCCCCGAAGCTGTTAAGAACACTATCAGACAGGAACTGAACAAAATGGGCCTCTCCTATTGCTCTTGTCCCCAAGAAAGATGGTAGCATCCGCTTTTGCATTGACTACCAATGCCTCAATGACCACACGGTTAGTGACGCCTACTCGATGCCCCGTATCGATGACCTGCTGGACCAGCTGGCTGGAGCCCACTATGTCACTACTCTGGACTTGAGCAAGGGCTACTGGCAAATCCCCTTATCTGCAGAGGGTCGGGAGTGCTCTGCCTTCATCACCCTCTTCGGCCTGTTCGAGTTTCTCAACATGCCTTTTGGCATGAAGAATGCTCCTGCCACCTTCAAGCGCACGGTGAACCAGCTGCTTCGGACCTGACATGACTTTGCCTGCGCCTACCTGGATGACATCGCCATCTTTAGCGAAACCTGGGAAGATCACCTGCAGCAGGTGGGCTTTGTCCTGGATCGAATTGCAGGAGCCAACCTCACGATTTGACCAGACAAGTGCCAGATGGGGATGGCGGAGGTGCAATATTTAGGACACCGGGTGGGAGGGGGTAAACTGCGCCCAGAACCAGCTAAAATAGAAGCCATTAGGGAATGGCCCACCCCCCAGACCAAGAAACAGGTTATGGCATTTCTGGGCACTGCTAACTATTACCAAAAATTTGCTCCCCATTTCAGCACGATTGCGAAGCCCCTCACAGATCTCACCAAGAAGGCCATGCCCTGGATGGTAACCTGGACCCCAGCCTGCCAGACTGCATTTGATCAGCTGAAGGAGGCCCTTTCCCATGACCCCATCCTAGCAGCGCCCAACTACCAGCGAAGGTTCCTTGTGCAGACAGACGCCTCTACTTATGGGCTGGGGGCGAGATGTTTTTAAACTACATGGAATTCCTGATGATGTGGTATCTGACAGAGGAGTGCAGTTCACGTCAAAATTTTGGAAAAGCGTTTGTTCAGCTTTAGGGGTAACAGTTAACCTGTCCTCTGCTTTTCATCCTCAGTCTAATGGACAGACCGAGAGGACCAATCAAACTTTGGAGGAGAACCTTCAGTGTTTTGTCAGTTATCTTCAGGATGACTGGGTGGACTATCTACCTACGGCAGAGTTTGCCTATAACAATGCTAAACATAGCTCCACCTCCCAAAGCCCCTTTTTCCTCAATACGGGGTATCATCCAGTTTTTATTCCTGATCTCCCTATCATAACTCAAATTCCTGCTGTTGCCAACAGATTAACTACATTGCCGGAGATTCAGGCGAAGTTGATTGAGACTTTGGGGGAGGCTCAGGAATGTTATAAAAGGACTGCCGACAGACATCGCAGATCACTTCCTACCTTTCATGTGGGCGACAAGGTTTGGCTATCAACCAAAAATCTGAAGGTTCATGTTCCATCTGAAAAGTTGGGCCAAAAGTTTGGGGACCTTTCCAGATTTCTGCTCAGATCAATCCAGTCACCTTTCGCTGAAAACTTCCTGACAGTATGAAGATTCCACCCTGTTTTTTACGTATCACTTTTTCAAACCATTTCATGAAAATCCTTTCCCTGGAAGAATTCTTCCTCCTCCTCCACCTGTTAAGGTACAGGGTGAAGAAGAATATGTGGTGGAGAAGATTCTTGACCTCTAGGATGTTTAGAGGGAAATTGCAGGAAGGAGGGAGATGGATGGAGAGAAGTGGGGAGAGAAGGAGATGGGGAAGAGAAGGGGAAGATGAGGGGGGGAGAGGAAGGGAGATGGATGGAGAGAAGTGGGGAGAGAAGGAGGGGAAGAGAACGGTGGGGGGAGATCAGGTGGAGAGGAGGAGGGAGATGGAGGGGGGAGAAGGGAGGAGAGGAGGAGGGGGGAAGAGAAGGGGCGATATAAGGGCGGAGAGAAAGAGGGAGATTGAGGGGGGTGAGAAGGAGGGAGATGGAGGGGGGAGAAAAGGAGGGAGATGGAAGGGGGAGAAAAGGAGGGAGATGGAGGGGGGAGGGAAGAAGAGAGGGAGATGAGGATGGGGGAGGAAAGAAGGAGGAGATGGAGGGGGGACGGGAAGGGGATGGGGAGAGTTCTGCTGTAGTGCAGAGTTCAGCTCACTCCCCCAGGTTGGTCTCTGTAGGCTCAGGCAGAGGAATCTATCTTGCAGCCACCATGTAGTTGTCAGCTGCAATGCTTGAAAGTTCCCGCCCCCCACATCTTTTCAGGCTCAGCACTGGTTGCTAGCGGGAGTTGGAGTGTGGGCGGGGCAGACCAGGAGAGACGGGCGGGGCAGACAGAGGAGAGGGGTGGGAGGAGGCCATCTCTATGCTGATGACACGCAAATCTATCTTTCTGCTCCTCCACACCTCACCCCTTCAGTCTCCTCCTCACCTCACCCCTTCCTACTCCTCCCTCACCTCACCCCTTCAGTCTCCTCCCACACCTCACCCCTTCCTACTCCTCCTCACCTCACCCCTTCCTACTCCTCCTCACCTCACCCCTTCAGTCTCCTCCTCACCTCACCCCTTCAGTCTCCTCCTCACCTCACCCCTTCCTACTCTTCCTCACCTCACCCCTTCAGTGTCCTCCTCACCTCGCCCCTTCCTACTCCTCATCACCCCTTCAGTCTCCTCCTCACCTCATCCTTCAGTCTCCTCTCACATCACTAACCTACTGACATATCAGCATGGATGTCACTCCACTTCCCCAAACTCAATCTTCCAAAACTGAGCTCTTAGTATTCCCCCCGGCCCGTGCCCCCAATCAATAAAACAAAAACAACCATCTACAACCTTCCACCTCATGATTTGTAATCCCTAGACTTCCATCTGTTCTTTCAGCCCCAAATCTAATCGCTGTCCAAATCTTGTAGACTTCATATCTCTGACCTCCGCAACATCTCCAACCTCCGCAACACCTCCAAGATACGAGCCATTCCTAACCTCGGAAACCAACTAAGCAACTTATTCCCTCCCTGGTTATCTCTCGCCTTGACAATACTGTAACTCCCTCCTCATTGGCCGACCTCATCACAGGGCTATCCCCTCTTCAGTCTATCATAAATACTGCCGCCAGACTCATCCACTTACCAACCATTCAGTGTCCCTCCACCCCTCTCTACCAATTCCTGCACTGGCCTCCATTTAGTGTCCTCCACCCCCACTCTGCCAATCCCTCCACTTGGCCTCCATTCAGTGTCCTCCACCCCTCTCTGCCAATCCCTCCACTGGCCTCCATTCAGTGTCCTACACCCCCTCTCTACCGATCCCTCACTGGCCTCCACTCAGTGTCCTCCACCCCTCCCTGCCAATCCCTACCACTGGCCTCCATTCAGTGTCCTACACCCCTCTCTACCAATCCGTTACTGGCCTCCACTCAGTGGTCCTCTACCCCCTCTCTAAACCAATCCCCTCCACTGGCCTCCACTCTGTGTCCTCCACCCCTCTCTGTCAATCCCTTCCACTGGCCTAAATTTCAGTGTTCTCCACCCCTCTGTCTGCCAATTTCCCTCCACTGGCCTCCATTCAGTGTCCTCCACCCCCTCTCTGCCAATCCCTCCAGTGGCCTCCACTCAGTGTCCTACCTACCCCTCTCTGCCAATCCCTCCACTCCCCTCCATACATCAGTGTCCTCCCCCCCTCTCTGCCAGATCCTCCACTGACCTCCATTCAGTGTCCTCCACCCCTCTCTGCCAATCCCCTTCACTGGCCTCCACTTAGTTTCCTCCACCCTCTCTCTGTCAATCCCTCCAGTTGGTTTCCCATTGCCCAGAAAATTCAAATAAAAATATTAACAAGAGCATGCAATTAAAGCCATCCACATCTCTCGGCCCCGAGCTACATCCCCATTTGTCGGTGGTGATGTCTATGATCTTTGTCAGGACCTGGTCATGGATACGGGGAAGTTTAATGACAAATTACAGGAACATCACAGACTTGGAATGCAATTATTTCTTACAATTTTCAGAAGGTGGCCAATAATTTTGTCCCATTTTGGGGGTTCTGCGTGGAGTGTGTCAGATTTGGCTTTTTTGTTTCTCCACTTTTTTGTGTCACCATACAAACCCAAAAATAAACACGGGAAGAACGCCAAAACATTTGTCATTGCAGCAATTTACTGAGGTGAAGTGGTGCGTTACAGGAAATGCGGGACGGGGGGGGGCAATATTTTTGGTCATGGTTGTATGTATGTTTGTCAAGATGAGGGTGAAGCCTTGCAGGTCTACAAATCCGGCACAGTAAGGTTTCAGTTGCAGTCATTATAGTAAGTGGGTTCCATTTCCATCTCCACCCGATCACTCTTTCCTCGTTCTCCTCTCACTCTGATTCTCTCATTCTTCATCTTCCTCAGGTCATTGACCCCTATACCCCATAAAGATGAGGAGCCCAGTGTAGAGGACAAAGACCGCACCGGGAAGACGGGAGGTGACCCCCAACCAGACCGACCTCCTCCTAAATGGAAGATAATGGAGGACAATGAGAGAGTTGTACAGAAAGTAATTATTTCCCCCCCACCCTAGTGATATTATCCAATCCCAACCAAGCCCGGTCAGATCTTCAGTCCAGCAGGTCAGGATAACAGGACAGTCACACTGGTAACAGGGCAGACATTCTGGTTGTCCTGATAAGGACGTAGCCAGCCATTTAATATCTCGTCCAATAAACATGGAGGATAGCAGCAGGCTCAGATTATCATCACACAATGCCAGTGGACCCGGGTGAGGATAGGACCATGTGATAGGGTCCACCAGCCATCACATCACCCCAACAAACACTACCAATAGCATAGGGACCCTCTATGAAGGTGGGGGGGGGGGACCACAGCTGCTTATACAATCTGCTGACTCTTACACCGGGTTGGTAATGGTCCTAATACCAGGAATATCTGGATTATTGCCTGGCGTTGTATACCTGCCCCTTCACATTATTCAGGGGGAGGCCGGTCAGTTCTTCGTCATTCCATCTTCCCCCACCTTACTCTGTTCTCCCCTTGGTGGGACTTCACCATGGTGACTTCTTCCTCCGTTCTGCCCCAACCAAAAACATCAATATCATTCCATGGCGGGGGGCCTTTCCATCATTTCCCAAACATTCTTTCCATGAGGGGGGGGGGGGGGGAGGGGAGGGGGGGAGGGGGGGGGGGCGGCGGGAGGGGATTAAACCTCCAAACAAACCATAGGGGGGGGATGGGGGCTGGGGGGGGTTCTCATCCTCCCCTCCCACCACACCCTTATTCCAAGGGCGGGGGTGGGGGGTTGGGGGGACCCACCCCCCACCCATAACCATCCCCAGGGGGGGGGGGGGGGGAGGGGACTGGGGGGGAGGTGGGGGGGAGGGATCAGGGGGGGGTGGGGGGGAGGGGAGGGGGGGGGGGAGGTGAGGGGGGTGGGGGGGGGGGGGTGGGATGATCCAACCCACCTTTGGGGTACGGGGGGGGGGGAGGGGGGGGGTGTGGGGGAGAGGGTTGACTGGGGGGGGGGGTGCGGGGGGGAGGGATGGGGGGAGGGGGGAGGGGGGGTGGGGGGGACCCCCCCCCCCCCCCCCCCCCCCCCCCCCCCCCCCCCCCCCCCCCCCCCCCTCCCCCTCCTCCTTTTTTTTTTTCCCGACGCCGCCCCCCCTCGCACCCCACCCCCCCCACTTCTCCCCCTTTTTTTTTTTTTTTTATTTTTTTTTTTTTTTTTTTTTTTTTTTTCATTTTGTTTTTTTTCTCCCCTTGTTTTTCACCCCCCTTTCTTTTTCGCCCTCTCCCGCTTTTTTTCCTTTTTTTTTATTTTTTTTTTTTTTTTTTTCCCCCCCCCCTCCCCCACCCCCCCTCCCCTCCTCTCCCCTTCTCTCATCCCCTTTCCTTTTGGGGGTTTTTTCTCCTCTTTCACCTTCCCCCCTTTTTTCCCTAAAAATTTCCTTTGGGGGGGCTTGATTTTTTTTTTTTCCTATTTT